GTATTCAAGTCTCCGACACTTATTGTTGAATTGTCTGTTTGTTTCCCTCTTCCATTCTGTCCATTTTTGTTTCTTTTTCTCTGTTGTCAGGTGCATGCATATTTGCAGTTGCTATATCCTTCTGATGGAGTGACCCTTCTGTGGCTGTAAGATGTCCCTCTTTGTCTCTAGTGACGTTCTCTTGTCTCAGAGTCTGTGTTGTCTGGGATCCATGCAGCTACCTCATCTGTCTTGTAGGTGGAGTCTGCGTGCTTTATCCCTTTCTGTCCTTTTACTTTCAGTCTGTCTGTGTCTTTGAACCTGAAGGGCGTCTCTCGTAAATAGCACATGCGTGGATCTTGTTCTGTTTTGCTTTTTAAAAATCCAATCTGACAATGTTTACCTTTGATTCTTAGAGGATTGAGTTTATTCACATTTGTTATTTTTGTATGGTTGGATTTTGCCATTTTGCTCTTGATTTGTTGTGTCTCAGGTTATTTTTGTTCCTCTGTTCTTGTTTTACTCTGTCCCTTTTTTTTTATTAAATAGATATTTTCTGGTGTCTGTTTATAATCAGTTATTGGCTTTTAACTCTTTCTGAATTGTTCTGGCAGTGGTTGCTCTGTGGGGTCTTCCGTTGTCTGTTGTTTCATATGTCTGTCTTGTGTCCTGGTCGTCTGTGTGTCCCGGTTCTGGTCTCCATGAGCTCGTTTCAGGCCTTGGATGACCATCCATCCCCTCGAGGATTTTCCTTTGCTTCTTGGGGCCCTGGGAGAAGCCCCTCCCAGGACCACCGCATCCATCTCGAGGCTCCCCACTAGATGTGTGTCCCATACACCCCTTGCCTTGGGGTGGTGGCCTGCCATGGCCTGCGCTAGAAAATGTAAGGGTCTGACAGCCCCACACACCCCCAACCCTGAGGGACCCCTGGCTCTGATTTCTGTCCCCTCCAGCCTCTCGGGGTGTTGGGAAGACAGTTCAGAATTCTAGCTGTTTCTTTCAACCTTCACGGCCTCGGGGCAGAAGTGGCTTGTTTCCTGTCAGCTCGCGCCTTCTCGTAGCTTTGAGATGGCCCAGCAGTTCCCCCTACCTGTTAACTCTGTTGCTTTCAGGACTTCTTATTTTACACCCCCTTCTTGGTTGAACACAGCAGGCACGTTTGTCTTCAGTAGCTCATCTGTCGCTTCTGCAGGCGGGACCTGAAGGTGTTGCACTTGGGTCTGGATCCTGCTCCAGCCTTACAAGATGAGTAACAAGTCCTGGTGGATAACTCTCTTCGCGCTTACCTGCTTCTCCTGGGTAGTGTGGAGTTTGGGGAAGCAGAGTTGGGAGGTGATATGCGGGTGTCCCTGCCCGCGTGCTGGGGACATGGCTCTCCCTGCGTGCTTGGGTTTGCTCCCTTCTCTTCCCTCCGGGGTCCTCCCTTAGGAGTGTGGCTCGCGAGGGTTTGGGTATGACCAGGTGACTTCCACCTGTGTCTTCAAACATCGTGTAAAAGCCAAGGGAGACTAAGAGCAAGAACAGCAGCAGACCGACTCTGCTTCTTCGCAGAGAGAGGCCTTCTTGGCTGTTGGCTGCACTTCTTCATTTGCAAGTAGCCTCTCCTGCACCCTCGCCGTCCTGGGCCTCTGTCTGCCTGCAGCCTTTGCCTGAACCTGGGTTGTCCTGGAGTCCACAGCCACACGCTCCCAGGACCGTCCTACACTCAAAGCTACTTGACTTGAAACTCCAGGTTTCTTTTAACTCCACATTTCTTGGACGAGATTAGCTTTTTTCTACCCAGTGTTTTTATGGTCAGAAAGGAAACAATATTTCATTCTGCATTAATGTTATTTTATTTTATTTTATTTTATTCTTTGAGGAAGATTAGCCCTGAGCTAACATCTGCTGCCAATCCTCCTTTTTTTGCTGAGGAAGACTGGCCCTGAGCTCACATCCGTGCCCATCTTCCTCTACTTTATATGTGGGATGCCTACCACAGCATGGCTTGGCAAGTGGTGCCATGTCTGCACCCGGAATCCAAACCGGTGAATCCCAGGCTGCTGAAGTGGAACGTGTGCACTTAACCGCTGCGCCACCGGGCTGGCCCCTGCATTAGTGTTATTTTTGTAATATATCAAAATTCTTTTCCCTAGGCTTCCAAGAACGTTTCTTAACCAGTTATCTTCATGGAACTTCAGTCAGGCTGGGAGTCTTGCACACTTTGGGGCAGACAAATACGAGGTATTTGAACCTCCTCCTGCAGTAAGAAGAGTCCGTGTCCAGATACCCTTGGGATGAAGACTGACGTGCAGACGAGCTTCTGTAGCTCATGCTCCATAAGCCTCTGCATCTGTCCTTTAGGGCCCTCGCCTTTGCATTTCAAATGCCAGCTGACTTGTTCAGACCAGCTCTTGGCATTTGGCACCTCTGTGTGGCCTGGACCAGAGCAGGTGCCTTCCTGGGACGGCACTGGTGGAACTAGGCCTCCGGGGACAGGCCCACCAGAGAAACACATCCGGGCTTGTTATTAAAACATCACTGGGCTTTTCACATGTAATAAAGACCTCTTCATTCTCCCATCTTTCTGCGAAGTTTCCCCTTTCAGAATGCTGACTCACTGTCAAGGGTGCCTGTGCGTTCCGGAGCGGTCGGGCGCCTGTCGTGCTGTTCGCTGTGGGCTTGAATGGTGCTCACTGCCTTCATCCTTCAGTTTCTTGGCTTAGTGGTCACCGGGCGTCTTAAACATCCTCAGTGTTCTCTCTGTACTCATGGATGTTGACTTTATCCAGGCGCCCAGCAGGGAGCAGATTCTGGTAGAAGAGGTGATGGGAAATGATACTGGAATGTTTTTGAGAGCTAGGAATTTCTGGCAATTTTGCTTTTAGCATAGATCCTCGGACTGTAAAATTGGTTTCTCAGTTAATCCTGTGTTCAAATTTTAACCCAGACATGTAATTGCTATGAGACCTGGGGTGAATTATGCAACCTTTCCAAACTAGGGTTTCTTTGGCTACAAAATGAGGATAATATTAGCTGCTCTGTCTCCACCTGTAGAAGATTGTGATAAATATCAAAAAAGAGAGAATGTGAGTGTTTTGTGAATGGTGAGCAAATTGAAAATACGATTTAGTCTTGAGCAGACACTTGCCATCGAGGGCCAGCGAGTACAGGACTGGGCTGCTCTGGTTCGGGGAAGGTGCGGGGCGCCCCTCCCAGTGGACGTCTGGTGTGCTCATGGTGGGCAGGGTCTGGAGGCCAGAAGGTGGGAGGCATGGTTGTCCGGGTACTCCTCTGGGTTTGGAGGCTGTGGGGCTCGTCTGCGCCGTGGTCCTGCAGACCCCAAATGGCAGGCCACGTCCTTCTTTTGCCAGGCCCAGGGTCCCAGAGGTGGTTGTGCTGTGGGACAGAGACGACCCCCAACCCTAACCTAACCTGGGGCTTCCCTTAGCTTCTCGAGCTCCCTTTGTGAAACACCCCTTAGAGCCTGTGCTGGCCTGTGCCCTGCTGGCTAAGGAGACCCTCAGAAATTTGTAGAGTCCTGCATGAGGCTGCCAGACAAAGGAGCTGCTTTTCCAGAGTTTGATCAACAGACCTTTGCTTTCAGGGAAACTTCGCCCCTTTTGTCTCTGCCCTGCCCTTTGGGGCGTGAAATAGGTTGAACGAGGCATAACTTCTCTTTATCCTCCTTACACCCCGCCCCCTCTTCTGCTGTACCTCTTCAGTTTCCCTTATTAAGATCCCCAACCAGGGGTGACCATGCATGTGGCTGTGAGCTGCTCCTGGAGCCAGTGAGGGACTCTGGGTCTGGAACAGCAGCGAGTTCACGGTCGGCTCTCCGCTCCTGTTCTGACAGCTTCTTCTATCCACCTTCGGCTTCCTGCTGCTCAGGGCGCTGCTGGGCCTGCGCAGGTCCCTGCCTTCCTTGCCCTGTCCCCCTCCTCCTCATCTTCCTCCTCCCCCTCCTCCTTGTACCTTCTCCCCCGCCCCATCCGTCCTGCTCCATCTCCCTCCCCTCTCCTCCTGCCTCCTGCTGCCTCCTTGCATTCGCTGCAGGTTTCCTCTCAGCTCAACTTGTCCACAGGTCATTTGATTACACATTGCTCATAAGGCCATTTTGCAGAAATAAGAGATACAAATACAAGTCTTTTATCTTATTGCTCAGTTTAAAGACAAATATCCTCCGATGACATTATCTTTGGTTCTCCTATTGGGTGTATTTGTACCTTTAAGTAAAACGCTGAAAGCTTTTTGATTGTTCCATCAACTTAAAGTACTGTTTTACTGTGAGATAGAACATACCTAGAGAATAATGCACACACACACACGCACTCTAAAGCTAGATTAGTAGGCACATATCTGTGTGACCACCACTGGGTCAGGATGGAACCTTGTGCCCCTCCTACCCCTGCAGCCGGTGCTGTTCTGACTGCCAGGGTGCTCATTTCCTTGCTTTTCTTTGTAGCTTGCATTACATGTGCATTTCCTAAATAAAATGGTTAATTTTGCTTGATTTTGCACTTGACATAAGTGGAGTGGTGCTGTGTGTATCCTTTTGTCCTGCTGCTTTCACGGGGCGTTGTGTCTGGAACATGTTACCTCGTGCGGAGCTGTCATTTCGTCTGACTGCTGCATGGATTTGTGCAGCTGCACCGTCTGTTTACCCCTCTGTGTCCGTGGACTTGGCTGTGCCTGATCAGTGCCGCGCTGCCATGTGTCTTCTGGTGCATGCGTGTGAGACCATCTGTACCCGTGCTGAAGTCCTGGGCCCCAGTGTCTGCATCTTTGCTTCGCTGGGCAATGCCAGCTGCTTCCCAGATGCTCATGGGATGCTCAGCCTGCCGGCTGTGCGGGACAGCCCTGCTGGAGTTGTCAGTGTTCTCAGTTTTCCCCGCTGTATCCAGGTCATCGTGTGTCCCCCCAGCTGGCAGGGTCATGGGTCCACCGGGCAGCGTCCGGGTCGCCTGTCCTGCTCTCGGGTTGTCTGTCTTCTCTCCTGTCGCCGTTGCTCTGAGTGAGTTTAAAGTGTGTTCTTCCCACAGGACGACGCGATGATGCCGCAGCGGGTGAGGCTGCAACATGAAGCTGCTGTTCGGCACCCAACAAGTGTAAGTACTGCTGTCCTTTCCTGTATTGTCGCTACCTTTTGATAAAATTGCTGTTACAACTTTTTAAATTAAGGTTTTTCTTTAGGGTGGGAAGAGTCAGTTCATGGTGAGACTGCCCAGTCAGAGAGTGACTTGTGGCTGGCATGTCTCTAAACACTCACGGGGTTTTCCTTTGAAGGAAACGTGTGTCTGATTTGGGTGCCACTTGTTACTTTCAAATGGTTGCAGAGGGGTTTTTGGTTTTGTTTTGGTTTGTTTTTCACAGCATTTTAGAAGCTGTGCACCTTGGACATGAAAACACAGGTTGAGAGCTGGAGTGTGTCAGCACTTTAAAAAAATTGTCCTCATTATCTGGACAGCCTCAGATTGCTGTTCTCATCTTCAGAACGGCTTCCAGTCAGCCCCCAGGAGCTAGGCTTTTCCAGGACCGGTCCTCCTGGGCACTCACTGGGCGAGGATGCTTTGCTCAGCAGGAGCCCCACATGGGGAGCGTCTCCCAGCCCCCTTGGACCTGGAGGGGCATCTCGGACTAGGGGTCACTCAGCCATGGGTGGCTCGGGGTTTGGGTGGCCTGGGCGGCCAATCCCAGAGCTGGTGTCTGGTCACAGTGTCCACTGCTCAGATGCCTCTGCTGAAGTTTCAGTGGAGATGTCTTTGAATTACTGTGATGATCCTGATTTTAGGAAGTATGAGAGAAACACCTGCGGTGTCTGCCTTCCCTGGTGGACGGCTCCCTCTTGCCCCTCGCTCCCAGGTTCTGCTCACCTCTGCTGCGGTGCTCTGGCCGCCCTGTGTACGCACGTGGAAGCTCCTCCAGCATCACGTGTGCACGAGCCCTGGGTCTGATTCCGGGCGTCGTTTAGGGCCTGAGACTCTGCATTCCTTGCAGGCTCCCAGGGTGCAGGCAGGCTCAGGCCATACCCACCTGTTTGGGGCCCACCTGCCTGACCACTGGGCCTCACGCAGGAAAGGGCATGCTCCTGGGACAGGGTGCGGGTACAGACCCTCGTGAACGTGTTGTGAGTGATTCCGGAGGAAAGGCGCAGGGACACACCTCTGCAAGATGCACTTTCTCCAGGACATTCGATGACTCCCTGCACCTGAGATGAATCCATTCTCCTCCAATAGCCCTTGAGTCTGCAGCTCAACTGCATCTCAGCCCACTGATTTTCTGCTTCTAAGAAATGTAGCACCTTATGCTTCTTCCCCCGCTGCCCAGCCCCGTGTGACTCTGTGACTCGGGTGTCCGGCTGCAGCACCTGGCCGGCCGTGTAGATTCGTGTGCTCTGTATGGGCTGCTGGTGTGTTTTCACGGAACAGGGTGTTGTGCAGCCTTAAGTTCGATGCTGAAGACTCTCATTCCCTGAACTATAATTGCACTTACATGGCTTCAATTTAAACATTGTTAATGTAAGCGTGTCCTTGAAATATGCCTGTAAGAAGATAAAGGACTATGTCCTGATAGGCCGCTCCACATCTTCTTAGGCTAGAAGCTTCCAGAAGGCGGGATGTGTGGAGGTTCGGAAGCACCCAGTTGCACTTCTCTACTGAGGAGTGGCCCCTGGGCCGAGGTAGCATCACGAGGGCCAAAATGTGCCTTGGGGCCTGGACAGCAGAGGTCTAATGTGACCAGCCCTCCTGGGGCTGGTGGAATCCTTGGGGCCCAGTGTCCGTTCTGTGGTCAGAAGCCAGACCAGCCCTCGGGGCAGGGCCCACAGCCTCTCCTCTGGCGAGTCATTGCCCTGTTGGAGGCCCAGCTGCTCAGCGCCATGGCCGGGCTGTCCTCCTCCCCAGTGACCGTCCAGTGCCCCCAGATCCACCTGGAGCATCTCACTCTTCCCAGCTCACTCCCCGGGCACTCACCAGGGCTTGTGAGTTTGTACATATCCTTGCCTCTGGCCACTTGCCCCTTCACATAGGTGGACACTCGAGGCTTTGCCATGGGGACTCAGGGCCACCCTGAGCGGGGCTGGGCTGTCGTCCCTTTTCAGCTTGTGCTAGCAGACCAGGCTAACCTCTCCGTGAGCCACGCTCGGGTTTCTCCTGCTCTGTCAGTGGGTCCTAGGGCTGCCCCATGAGGCTGTGGGCGTGAGCTCAGGGAGAGGTTGGAGTGGGGGGGGAGTGACCCAGGAGCTGGCGACCGCTCCCACATGTGCCCTTTCCCCCTCATCCCCATGGCTGTGGGGCCACTTTACCTCATGCCTCGGTGGCCTGACAGTACTTGGCTCATAGTGGGCAGTTGTGGTCACTTGGTGTCCATGGTCAGGTCACCTCAAGTGGCCCACACCTTTGTGCCACAGGTGGCTGGCCTGGCCCCAGGATTCTGGGGTCTGAGCTGTGTCTGTGCCCCTGGGGCCACCCATCTCTGCATCGCCATCTGCCACCAGCTTCCTCCAGAGCTCGGCAGGCTGTGCCCCTCTGGCTCCACTCACAGCCAGTAGCCTTGTTCCTCACCAGGTCAGGGGTGAATGGGGCCCCAAGAGGATTGCCCAGTCCTGTGTGTGTCTTCGTGGTCCCTCACTTTGGAGTATGTCACAGTGCCCCGTCTCTAGAGGTTGTCCATGCCCTGGGCGGTGTGTCTGACCTGAGTGTCCAGAGCACTTGCCACGTCTTGCTGACAAAGTACAGCAGGGCACCTGCAACACGGCGGTCAGCATGGTGTCCTGCAGAGCGTCTGACAGTGCAGACCTCACTGGAGGATGTTAAGTCAGCAGCAGAGGTGCCCAGGCCCTGAGACTGGCCAATGGGGCTTGTGAGCAGGAATGCATCTTGTGGTGTCCACGGTCACTCTCCAGGGTCCATCTGCTGTCTGCAGGGGTACATGGGGACCTGACACCACATACTTCAAGCCTCCGAGGTGGCCTTAGTCTCTGCATTCTCTCCAGGGCATGATCCGGGGTTCAATTTACGCTCGGTGAACCCACAGTGAGGACGACTTGGGCCAGGACCATGTTGTCACATGACGCATGGCCCTCACTCCAGTGGGCCACGATGGTGCTAGCATCAGCTGGGACCTTGCAGGACCTGGCTGTCCCTTCCCTGGCCTGAGAGCCTGTGTCCTGTGCATCTACCTTGGCAGTGCTCAGTCTATCCTCATGGTACGGCTTCCCCTTCAGCCAGTGGGTCTGAGTCTGAGAACTGGCTTGGGTCTGGAAATGGTCAGGGGTCTGGACTGTGCTCCTGTGTGCATGAGCTCTCTGATGGCATGTGTTGAACAGTACCCATGTTGCCGCCCATTGGCCTCTCCCCATGCAAGCACCATGTCAGCCTGTATCCCTCAGACGAGCCTCCCGCTGCCTTCCTCGCCAGCTGCCGTCATGGTAGCCACACCCACCTGCTGCAGAGGGGTATGCTGGCCTGGCGGCTGTGCTGGAGGAATGGTTCTGTGACGGCACCTCCTGCTGGCTTGCTTGGCCAGCAGCTGCGACACACTGCCCCTTGCCAGCATGTCTCCATTGCCATGGTCAGCAGTGTCCTTTCCCCAGTACTGGCTGGCCAGTGGGCCCTCTGGTCTCCTGCTCCTTGCTGTGTCTTCTGATTCCCCCCAGTTGTATGTGCATTTTACACCTGGGGGTTCACATGCTTTTGCCCAGTGCATGGAAGGAACGAGGTCCCTAAGCTCCAGAAAGTAGTGACAGCATCAGTGGTAATGCCCAAGCTCTGGTAGGTCAGAGAAGGCTGTCGGTGGCCGGCCAGTGCCCACCGTTCTGGCCTCCTGCCCTGCACTGCCGCCCAGGTCCCATGAGAACGCGTTTCTTAACACCTTGCTTGCACCTTGCTTGCTTGCACGGCTCCATCCTGCGTGGCCCAGCCGCCTTGTTCTGCCTGGGGGACTGGGCTCAGCCAGGACTTACCTCACACCATCGTGTCCCTGTGGTGGTCCACCCTTGGCTCCATGCTCTTCCAGCACCCGTGCATGTGCTGGAAGGTTGGTCCTGTGGGGCATGGCTGTCTCCGTGGGTTGGCCCCATGGGACTGAGTTACTGGGAGCAGGCATCTCGTTCCAGTCATTTTGTGTCTCAAATAAAAATGCTGTGTCTGGTCAGAACTCAGATGTTAGCTGTATGTTCCAGGGAATGGTTTTCAAGTGAAGGAGAAGTGAATGCAACAAGAGGCAGGAGTAGGCTGGTGGAGGCAGGGGGGAGGCAGGAGGAGGCGGATGTAAGGGAGACTGCAAGCAGCCCTGGGAGCGCTGCCCTGGGAGCCAAGGACTGAGGGGCCAGGCGGCATCCGCCGCAGCAGCGGGTCCAGGACAAGGGTGTGTAGGAGTCTGCAGGGTCGGCCTCGGGGATGGTGGGCGGGCAGGTCTGGAATCCCTCGGCAGGCCTAAAGCCCACATCCACAGCTTCCTTGAGAGGCGCTTCACCTGGTCGGGTCGGGCCCGGCCGTGTCACTTGGGACAGTCACCATCACCCACAGTCTCTAGTTGTGGACTTCAGTCACATCTGCAAAGTCCCTTCATGGCACCACACAGGTGAGGGTCTGAGTGACTGCTGACAGTAGCCCCCAAGGGGACACAAAGCTGACTGTGACGAGGTGGCAGCCACATGTGGCTGACGCAGCCGAGGTCAGAGCTGGAGCCCAGTGCGTGAGGAAGGTGGGAGGGGGTGCTGGGCGGCTGGGGACACGGGCACAGGCGTGTGTTTCTGAGGGTGTGAGGGCCGATGGGAGTGGGGGCGGATGCCCTCACAGGAGCTGCAGGCACCTGCCTTGGCTCGCTGGTTTTCACGAGATTCCAAGAAAATCACGAGCCAGCAGTTTAAGAGGGCAGATAGGTGCAACTGTGGGCATGCGTCGCAGTCAGTTCCGCAGACTGCAGAAGTGCCTTCTAGAAGTTTACCGTCAGGGACTGTTTGATTCCTTACCCCTTTCTGGCTGGGAAGACCTCAGAAAATACTCTTACAGTGTCGGGAAGTCAGCCATTTCTCCTGGAAGCTGTGGCAGGAGACTGTCCGACTCTGGACAGTGGGCTTGACCTTGGCACTGAGACCCCAGGCGTC